GTAATAAATCAAGAGAGAAGTAGAGTCATTTTCTCATAGACTTCTATTCAACCAGAGGAGTCGCCCCCTGCTGGACATGAAGTAGAATTCTGCATACAAGATAAAGAGTATTGTTGTCCGATGAGTAAAATCCATCTCTTTTACACCTGTACATATACATATATACATATACATACATATACAATTTCCCCACTTACTCCCAAGCATAAATATGTTGTCACTCCTTCATTTGTTCGGATGATTCCCCACATTAACCACAGGGAGCCCAGTTTGCCATTAATCATATGTGTCGCATGCTCTCCTGTGTTACTGTGCTCAGCTTTCTGCAGCTTTCATCATCAGCGTGGCGTCGCCTGCTGTGCAGATCTGTCTACAGCCTCTGAACTCTGTAAAAACAAATTAACTATTCTCCCAGTTCACACTCTGCATCAAACCCACTGCAATATGTTTCCATGAAGAGATATTAACAATGAAATAATAGTTTGAAGTCGTTTCACACTTCTTAATGGCAACGGGATATTTTCAGGGGACCAGATAGATTAAAGAGGTCTTAGAGCAGTGGTCGATATTAGATAGTGGTGGTGATGGGAACCGTTACATTAAACCCTGCCAGTGGCCTCTAGTGGCTTCAGCGTCCATTAAACCCGACAATAACCAAGTGCTGGATAGAACCAAACAGCATTTGTTTTTACTTTATTTTTAGGGCACTGATATACTGCAAAACAAACGCACTGTTTGTTCATCTACATGGTGATGTTTATACTATGCTGGGCTTTTACTGACGCCTACATGTTTCACACGTGTGCAGTTGGCACGTAAACGATTATACATTTGCCAAGACGGTTTCCAATGTGGCAACATGACTCACTTCTCACGGACCCTTTAAGCTTAGCTTTATAAGATTAGTGATGGCTCAACACATTAACAGAACGGCGCAATGGTTAATGTTAGTAGCCCCCCCCCCCCCCATGTGCTTTTTCCTACAATGACAAGTCAACAGCATGCTCTGGTTTATATGCCCAACAACCCCCAAAAAAGTGTCAGCACACATCTTTACCTCTCATGGAAATCTGCACACAATATTCAGTGTGTACGAGGTGAAGATTTGGCCTGAAAACAAGATGAAACGTCACAGAGTCACCAGAACCATAAGGAATCCACCGCATTCTACGTCGGGCAAAACCACGGATACGCTAAATGTCAAACTTCAAATGTCAAACCAGACTGTCCTCATACAGTGTTTGTAGCAACACCTACGACAATGAATGCGCTGCAAGTCATATATATCCTACAAAATCAATTCCTATGTACTCCACATAATCAGGAAGTATATTTGTTTCTGGCGACTGGGTTAAACTACATTTTGGAGTGTTGGACTGACCAACCGACAGCACCATACTCAGACCACACCAACTAACGTGGCAAAACTTTCACACATCACATCGCTTCAAAACATCAATATATCATAAAAACTCATAGAAACAGCATTCTCTAAGAGCAGCCCTCTCACTGGTGTTTATATCTGGATACAACACATTGCAAGTAAGTACAGAAAATGAAAATCTGAGCCATTACACTCTCAGAAATGACCGAAACCACAACAGCAGATACTGCCCGGCTCTGCCGACGCAGCATGGTTGAAGCTGAGTATCTCCTACTTACATCCCACCATCATCATGGCCACAGAGAAGATCTTCTCCCCGTCGCTGGTGGGGGCGATGTTGCCGAAGCCGATGGTGGTCAGGCTGGTCATGGTGAAATACAGCGAGGTGATGTACAGGGAGTCCTTGCCGGGGCCGCCCTCCCATCGGCCCAAGCCGCTGACGTTGTAGCGGTAAGGCGATCCGAGGCTGAGGGCCAGCTGGTAGAGCCAGCTGTCCCCCTTGATGGTGTTGGTGGCCTTGTCGATGACCTCGTAGTCTCCGATGCTGTACCTGTTGAGGACAACGTCTCAATCCGAGTACAAGACAGCAGAGCTTTGAGCAAACCGATGCATCTGGGTAAAAGTTTTAGTGAAACAAGCATTAAGATCCACTTGAAGAGCCGTTTGTTTACAGATCTTCTGATATCTTCCCTATTTATTCTATTGATTCAAAATATTTTACTTCAGCCAAGTCAAAGATTCATATTCTGTTCGATTCGAAAAAGTAAAGAGAAGTAAAACTGCAAAAATGACCGTAGACGCAGCAGAAATGCTTCTAAATGTTCTTGTTGCTGTTTAATGTTGGCGAGTATTGCACAATGAAGGAAGGATTTGAAAAATGGTGTTTGCTGTAGGACAGAAACAAATCAGCATATTACTCAATGTTGTATGAAGGAAACTCAACAAAGCAGCAGCAGATGTTTTGTAATGTACAGTACAGGTGGGCGGGGGGGAGGGAAGCAATGATTAGCATACAGAACCAATTAGGAACAGTTAGGAGGACGGGTAAACTCCCAGCAGGCACTTTTGAATTGGTGCTAAACTGTGAGGAAATGAGAGATCCAGAAGTGACAGTAAAAAACTGTTTACCAGATGCAGGCGAGCCAGTGAGCCACCAGTCCGAACACGCAGACCAGCAGCACCAGAACGGCAGCACCGTACTCCAGGTAGTGGTCCAGTTTCCTGGCGACCCGGCCCAGGCGCAGCAGGCGGACCACCTTCAGGGAGCTGAACAGACTGCTCATGCCCTGAGGGGAGAAAGGAGGGAGGGGAGGAGACAGAGGAGGGAGAAGGAGAGATGTGGGGGGTGGGTAGAGGATGAGTGAGAAACAATTACATTCCAGGTAAAACTCTGCTTTCTGTTGTGTGAAAAGTGAAGTTGGGCAACAAATGATGTTCCCACGCCCCGCCCCCTTCTAGTTCTGCACATACACTTTGTAAAAGGCCAATACACCGAAGGTAACTAGTAAATGTTGTGAAAATGCAGTGAATATTCATAACTATTTATACCTGCAGCAATGCTAATTTGCAACAGTTGCAGCACTTTGTCAATAAAAGGTTTGAATAGATTTCTGCAGGCAGAGGATCAACCAACAGGGATTTAGGCGGTTCATTCTGGTTCAGAAAAGTGAAGCCGATGCTTCATGTGTTAAAGCTGCATTCTCTCTAG